TTGGATGAAGAGGATTCTAAATGAACTGAAAGCAATGTACCCAAAGCAAAGACACCTTTGACGTTTGGTAGTCGAGAAATATGATCGACAGTCTGACCAAAAACAAAGATACGCGTTTGATTTAGTTTTAATCCATCTTCAAGATATTCTTCCACTTTGACAGCAGCAGATATTCTTTACCTTGACACTCCACATGCTCCAATTATTATCGCCGTCACCGGCAATCCATTCTCTCTTATGTTCGCTCCAGGACCCATCTGATTTGTTCATTATAGCATATTCATCAAGACAGGTTTTCGCGACCCAGCACCCGATCGGGTGTGCAGTGTAAGAATGCCCGTGGAGTAAGGCATCCGTCTTATGGGGTGTAGAGAAAGAAGAGAATATATTCTCAGACGCGAGGGTGACCGCAAGTGGGAGTAAGCCGCCCGTCAGCAATTTTGCGTAAGCTGCTATATCTGGATTCTGTTTCACTGTATTTTAGTGTATAATAAACAATGAAGCGTGGACGTTTTAAAAAACAAGACAATTATGACATCGAATGATATCAATACTGACCACTCCCAACATTTCAGCCCCACTCATTCGCCCAAGTCTCCAAAGTCCCGTATATACTTCGTCAAATATAACTGGCAACCCTTTCCATTCACCGGTCTGATACTGTCTCTTCTTTCTTCCCCAATCGTGACTTCTCGCACAATCAACAAGACATCGCTGAAAGACTGGATCAACAAATATCATCCCTCCTGCGCCCATTACAACAGGTTCCATCACCAGCGAACCAAACGTACGTCCTGATGAACTTAGTTGATGAAACGTTGACATAATGTGAGACTTGTAAAAGTCGGCAAGAGCAGAAGAGTCGCGTGTTTGAGAAAAGACTGCGGAAAGTGACGTGAAGCGTTGAGAATTCGCGATTGATGAGATGGGCGAGGATGCTGCGGTACTGGTAAGAGTGAACGAGGGTGGAATATGAACTCCATATACGCCGTCTTTCATTAGCACCATCGGGGGATCGAACCAGTATCCTCGAGGTTTGTACCTATGGAATTTCGATCAGATAAATAAGAAGGAAAGGAGAAAAAGGCATTGACAAAAAAAGGTAACGTACCATCCAACCTGCTCGTTAAACACGTTTGGTCCACAAGCATCCATAGCTCCAATGGTATCACCATGATAGCTCCCATTAAGACCCAAAACCTCCAGATGCTCTCCGTTTCTCTCGGCTTTTGCATTACCCTCTTCGTTCCCCTCAGACTTTGTTACTCCACTGCTGTCTTCCATTTCTGCTTCAAATGCCCGCAGCCCCATCTTCAAAGCCACTTCCATGGCCGTGCTTCCATTATCCGAGAAAAACACTCGATCCGCCCATGGACGCCCGACTGTCGAGAGCAATGATTCGGATATAGCAAGAGCGGGTTCGTGTGTGCATTCGGGAAAAATCACATGGCCATAGCGGCCTGCTGCGTAGGCGGAGGCCAAACTCAATCTCTGAGAACCATGGCCAAGACCTAAGTAGTAGTCGAAGCAAGAAAAACATCAACGTCATCATACATAGACAATTGTGTGGGAATGCGACCGGAACCATGCAAAGAGAAAGGAAGAAAGGAAGGGGAAAAAGCCATACCTTGAGTCCACCAACTTGCACATGCGTCAAACAATTCTTTGAAATCTCCCCCACGCTTGCCATGTTTAGCATCACTGTCACTACTAATTTTCTCCCCAACCCTAGTCTTTTCTCCTCCATCTTTCCTATATGTGACAAAAAAATCCTCATGTGCCGAATCAATAACCGTAACTTTCTCTACATTTTGATGCTGAGTGAACGGCCACCATACTACTTTTTTTGTCTTTTCTTCCATTTCTTCCAGTCTATCAAACCTGTCGTTGTACCATCTTCTCAACTCTTTAATGATACCGTCATATTCGCTCTCGGTATCTTTAAAATAATTTTTCAAATCGATCAGATCTTGTTGCCTCGATTCCTTTTTCTCTGGAGGTGAGGAGATACCAAAGATCGGGATACGATAAGGAAGTCGAAGATGCGAGTTGAGCGATTCCGTAAGTGATCGGAAATATGCGAAATTGGAATCACCAAACTTGTCGGGTTTAGTAAGAAAAAGAATAGAGAGGACGTCATAACCGCGTACATGAAGTGATTCAAGAGCCGAAAGCGTTGTAGAGATTCCCCCTAGCTTACTATCGCCGATGACAATTGTGGGAAGACGCAATGGACGATAAAACGCGATTTGCGGTGTACCTAAGATTGGGAGTTTAGGGTTGAGAAAAAGGAAAAGATTATTGAGTAACAGCAAGCAAGGATGTTGTAGAATTGATAGTGACCAAGGGAATCACTCACCTGACATTATGGGGCTATTGACACCTTAGATGGGATAACATATTAGTTATCAATTGAAGCATTAGTGAATCCAATTTCCACAATAAAACGAAAATATACACCAAGCCATACCACCAGCAGTTTCCAATATTAGTAAACCATTATTTCGAGCAACCCGTTTGCAATCGACAATGGATGCTTTGACATTTTCCAAAACTTCATTATCACTCGGTGCCTGCGAAAGGGGGGGGGGATGGTGGGGAGAATGACGCCTTAACATTCGATCTATCCTCCATTCCTTTTTCTATCATGCCACCTCTCCAAACGCACGCTCACCTTATTATTTCCAATAGCCAAATGCGGACTAACAGGCTGTTCATACTCGTACAATGTCTTGTATTGTATTTGCTGTCCACTATCGAGACAATCCTTCACAAACCTAGCATCGCTATCAGCAGGATAACCCGTTTGGACAGGTTTCACGTAAAAAAGCTTTTCGAAACTATTATGCGCATCAGCCTTGCTCGAATTACCAGATCGATTGTATTTGTTAGATAGCGGCGAGGGAGATTTCGAAAATGCGTTCAAGAGACCAGCAGAGATTATGGTTTTGCCAACATTCGTGTTCGGAGCAAAGATTTGATAAATTTGAAAGCGACGCGTTGGGAGATACAAAGACATTTTTTGGTTTTGACCGAGTGTTTCTGTTCCAAGAGGGAGGAAGGTTGGAGAGGAAAAAAAGAGAAGGCAGATAGTTTTTGTGATACTTTAATAAACACTATAGCAATAAATATAAATATGGGGAAACGTAAACTAGTTTCGACCGGACGCGTCAGTTTCTTGTTTTTGCCAAGGTGATGATATAAGACAAGAAACCAAGATGCGCAAACCGTCGGTTGCTTTGTTACGCCATTAGAACAGAAATTTGCTTTTAGTCTGTTCCGGAATTTTAATTAAACATCTTCGGGCTTAATATAGAAATGTTTAGCGTGCATGTAGATGTTCCATTATGAAACAAAATGAACTCGAACCGAGTATTTTTATTTGTCATTATTGTTACTATTACTATTAGTATTAACATTTACATTAGATGTTTCCTATAAATCTTTTCATTCATCTCTAATTACCATTCAACTTGCAAACTCCACCAGAACAACCCTTTTCGTCATTTTCTGCATAATGCACGTCCAGTCCATGACGCTGTCTGGCCAGCTTTACGAATGCCGTATATCCACCAATTAATTTATAATCACTTTCTTTACAGCCCTCATAAATAAACGGGGAAGTAGAGTGTGATGAAGCGTTTGGTACCAACTAGAAAAGCGAAAATTGAGAGAATGAGTTGGTGCATATCAAGTACGTATAACTGAGGTGTCTATATGTGATAACTATGTCATACTGTAAGATCTGCCAGTCGCTCGTAATTAACAATCTAGTAAACACGCACTATTCTACTTGCATTTTGTAAGTATTTTACTCGATCTCCCCATTCCTCCCTCTGTTGTGATTCAACTACTACTTTCAGCGGTTCCCGCAAGTCAGAGTTCTTCTTTAGTTTCTCGGCAAGTTGAGTCGCATTGTGAAAGTAAGAACAATTTAAAAAACCTTCCTGTTCAATAAATGGACAAGCAAAAATTTAATAAAAATGCCAAGAAGAGGGTACTATTTCAATTATTATTATTATTATCATTATACAAACAATATGGTAACAGATCTCGTTCATATCTGACGGTTGTGAGAAACTTGTTGACAAGTATTACTTGGTAATCTGACAGGAACAAAAAAGTTTTCCAAGAGTTTCACTCTTTGAAAAATCAAACCCAACCTCGAGATATACCAAAGTAGGACGTAACACAGGCACTTATGCAAAAAGATATCGATAGGGAAGTTTGACGTTTTTTCGAGACGCGCGGACAAACAACTCTTCAACACCTTCCACGCATTCCAACCAAGACCTTTCCCCCCTCCTCTTTGTCCTCACGGAAATAACAGATTGCTCAACTCACCAACTTCTTCCTCTTCCAGCTCTCTGATAATGTCCAACGATATTTCAACTTTCCTGTCAACAATTCTGTCTGAAGAGCAAGAGCTCCAATTTGCCGCTTTCGATTCTTCCAATGCACTCGAACTTGGTCTTTTAATTGTCAAAAATGCCAAGCAAAAGGGATATCCTGTAGTCATACAAATAACTATAAACAATTTTCTGCTGTTCCATTACGCAATGTTCGGCACAACTCCTGTCGATGTGGAAACCGCAAGTAGTGTAGGTGCGATTGTTAGCAAGTACCATCATTCGAGCGCGTATGTAAATATAAACGTGGAGAATGGATTAAGCGGTGGCGGATTTCCATTGACTATTAAAGGTACGGTTATTGGAAGCATCGTCGTCGCTGGAGCCGTTGCAAAGGATGATTATGAATTGGTTGTCGGGACGTTGAAGGAGTATTTGGGAATGGAAAAGGAAGGGAAGAATAAAGTTGAATGAATATGGTACACAAAAAAAGGTTGGGATTGGACTTGTGATTAGAATAGAAATGGGAGGTAAATTACTAAGATTATGCAAAGGATGTAATGAATCGTATGTTGTTTCTGTCGAATTGTCGAATTACAATCAAGAACGTTTCGGTTATATTTAATGATAACTCACGAGTTTTGTATTAATAAACGGAGCGTATAAACGCAAATTGCAGATTTTAATAGTCTGATTGATCTTTGCTGTGATTAATATTTATGGTGCAGTAAGCAACTCTCTTTTTGCAAATGTCGTCAGTATAATTTTATAACTAACACTGGTATCAATCCGTATAATGCAGAATTATGGTAATTGTCAAAACCAATAATTTCGTATTTTAAAAAATTGTGCTTTTTCGGGGGGTTTTTTTTATTAACCAGTTTTCATCTGGTAATAATCAAGATCGCTATGTTATGCCGCTACTATTGTTCGTCCGTTCGCTTGAAATAATATACCTTCTCGCTTCCGTTTCTCGGAACACCTAATTCCTGGAGCTTGTGAAAAGCATTGGCAAAGTCATTAAACCAGAGCTTTTCATCTGCTGCGTATTTCTCTACCCATGGTCTGAATGACCTGTCTTGGATGAGGACCAAATCAGTTGGAAGCATCATTAAATCGCCTGTAACAAGTTAATATGACATTCAAATGTTAATATATGATGGGTCACCATGATCGATGGTAGGATGGCTAGTCAACCGGACTTGAACATATCAAGCGAAACTCACCCGTCTCTTTATCGACATATTGCTTAGGACCTTTCCATTTCTTTTCCACCCATTTTTTCTCAAGCAGTTCTTTGAAATATCCATTCGTAACAATAGTAGGACTAGCTGTCCATGGGCCGTCGAATCCAGAATTGCTGGGATGACATCTGCCGAGCGCATGGGCACCTGAAAGAGCGACTATTTCGCTGATACGCATACATAATAAAAGGCGAGTTGAGATCTCTTTGTCCATTACCGACTTTAGCATTCTATAACGCTCACGCACCGATCGTCAAAGCCCATCCGGTAGAAGATATCACGAAGATGGTTGGCTCCCAATGATGCATCGGGTAGTCGGCCGTCAGGAGTGGCAGCTATTGCTTCAGCATCGCGGCTATTGACACGGTGACAGGAAAAGCGTAAAAATAAAAAACAATTATATTGAGAAATGCAATATTAAAAGTTTTCACAAACAAGCAAATAAACTTACCGTCCGGGAATCCATGGGATTGTAGGACCACCCTACGATTTAGAAATTAATATGGGTGTTATTCCGATACTGCTTGTTATATTCGATTGACTTAGGTTATATTACTAAGGCATAGTTTAATTGCCACAGTCATTCGTTCATTTTGTCCGTCAATCTACTTTAATACATGTCCATTCACCCAATTCGATTCAAGCCAGTTCAGGTTTGTCTTTTATTCCATTCGCTCCGTTTCTTTTTTCCCCTTTCAACCTACCATTTCTTGAATAGCCACGACACCAGCCAAACTCCACAGATCAGAATACGTAACTGCAGGATTAGCAGTTTTGACGGATTCCAATTTATTCCTAGCAGCTTTCAACCCAGCATTCGCAGCATGCTCACTCTCCGGGGCGAATCTCATAGTAGCACCATGACTTCCACCTGTGTTTGTTGCCTTATCATAAGTACCCGACGCATGCCATGCCAATCGTACAAAGATTGGACCCCAAGAACCATCATCCCAATCATTATCTTCAAGAATGTCGGCAATTTGATTGTATACTTTCTGATAATTAACCTCCCCACTGTCTGGTGACGGAGGGCTAACGGGGGAAGTTTTCGCCGTGCTAAGGGCAGGAGAGAAGAAATAGTATCCAGCACCAGCACCGACGGCCAAGGCAGTAAGAGCGATCAAAGCACCGCCTCGGGATTTCTTCTCGGCTTGAGTACTGTATGCACGATATGCAGTTGGACCGCGAAGAATAAGTGGCGTTGTCGCCGAGGCCGAAAATAGCAAGCCTCGAGATGATGGAATGCTACGCGTCGCAGCACGACAATGCCGTAAGAATGACATTTTGGATTTAGAGTATTTTAATGTTTTTGTAGGAAGTGGATTAGCGGGATTTGATCAATAAATAAAAATAAGGTTTAGTATGCGATATTGTCACGTTTCTTGACACATTTGGCAAGTACCCAATAAAAGTTCCGTTTTGGTACACTTGCATTAAAGTCACATTTTTAGAATACGCCTTCCTAAAATACCCGATCCCAAGTTATTTAGTGTAAGCTTCATTTCCTAATAGTCCTCCCTAAGTGCAACCCCCCTAAATATAAATGCAATCACTAAGTTTGACTCCTCTAAGTGTAAAGTCTGCGTCGAATTGCACTTAGGGAGGTCTGACTGTATCTTTTTTTCTAGAAAAATAACTAGCTTATTGATTGTATTGTTTTTACTTAACTTTTGCAATTGATGATGTTTTACAAATTTCAGCTAATGGCGAGCTTTATTGCTGCATCATCGCAAGTTTTGAGACTGGCATTGATAAAGATTTATCGGAACGAATAACCTTTAAGACTATTAAACGCCATTTCTTGCGCTATCAAATTATCATTCGATTATTTACATTCAAGATTCCGTTATATCGACGTAGCTTCACAGTGAACTTTGTCGCATTAATTGCGTTGTTATGATGCGTTGCATTTTCTGCTGAATCTCCTTGTTTGTATAGCTAAGAAATCAATAATATTTATTTTCTTCGATTGTATAGTTTACGTACAATATGTGTGTTAATTTACAGTATTACCATTGTTCCGTAAATACAGAACTTTAGCACCATGATTCTTCCAGTGTTTGTGGGACAAAAATGTTTTCTGTAACATCCAATAATACATATCTCCACCAATACTAGTCGACTCGAACCTATGGTTTTTCTTATTAATAATGTTTATGAACTCCTTGACATTCCCAAACTTCGAGAAACATCAATTAGAAAAGAGATAATCGCCAAGCTATACAACAATTGTGGAACCAGAGCATTAAAATGCGCGGAGATTCATAAAGCAAGTGTATTCCATTAGTACAATATTAAAAGAGCTCATACAACCTAAACCGTTAACCTTAGCCTAAAGAATCAATAACTTTTTAATTTTCTGCAATAATAGATGTACGCATTTATATAGAGATGTTCCGTAAACATCACCCAGACATTTAAGACTTGTTAGGGGATGAAATGGCGGATTTTAACAAGGCAATGACGCAAAACATGCTAGTCGTTTCGTTAAAAATTTCTTCATAATATGCTTGAAGCTATAGACTGCGTTCTAACAGTGGAGAGTATTGCTAAAACATGTGGAGAAGAGACTACCGAAATATATTAGTAGTTGTTCAATAGTAGTCCGCAACTGGGTTAGTATTAGTACAATCAATGAAATGTTCATCTCATAGAAAGTAATGGTGAATGCAACTCTACTAAAATAAATCTGCTGATTTTCAGCTTTCAAAATACATAAATTTATACTGCGGCAATTTTTTTTTGTCCCACAGGTATTTTCAAGGCCGATTGTATAATCGGGATATTAATACTGTACATTCATGTTTGACAGGCAAACCACTTCGGTCGTGTTACATGCCGGGTGTAACATAAATGTGTGTAACGTGTTGGATAAATTCCTTTTTCGCTTTACTAGCGTACATACATAGTATACAGTTATAATAATAATTACCTACTGCGTCAATCCGTAGAAGACTATTGTTAAGTTTTTATTCCAACGTTTGTTTTTTGTTTCTGATGTAATAGCAATTACAAACAGAATTATGCCCTCTTTTACGCTGCGGTACTTGCTCAGCCAAGAATAGAAATTTCTTTGTCTTGACTATAGGTCAAAATAGGATGCATGACAACCCAGGGTCACCGCAACTACCCATCACAGGTGTAACCCCACAATTATAATTCGTGCAGTTTCGGTTTACCAAATCTCGTTTCTTTACTAAAAAAACAATGACAAAACCAGTCGCAAATTAAATCGCGTTTATCAGCACAAATGTCCATTCACTTTGCATAAGTTAACTTGTACTTTGCTTCCTACAATATGCAACAAGGTCTTTGGTAGATCCCAACACATTCTTTCATCGAAGTTTCAGTATTTTCGGTAAGCTATTCTAAATCGAAGATTGGCAAGATATTCTGATTCTAATCGAACGTTTTCTCCTTATTTTGCGCCAAACCGATCTACACGGAGCGTTGCATGAAATCTATTATTTACAGCAGTAATTGTATAAAACTTAAACTTAAATATCTGTAAAGCTGTTAGAGACTTTGGGTTGATTGACAAGCTATGTCAGCACACGTTGGAGTAAGAAGTCAAATGCTTTCTAAACGTGTCAAATCGATCCTCTCAAATGGGAGATAAATACATCATTATGTAATGTATTATTGAAAGCTTCGTGGCTATTTTATTCCGATAGATGGAATGTTCTACGAAATTTTGGCATGCGATGCGCATCACTGCAACAAGTTTTCGATTTACCGAAATGGAAATACAAAATACCCGATCTCTACAACCGTAAAATTTGCAACCTGCACTGAATTTTCTCTGATGTATCAAAAATTGAAAATTATACAAGCTTATTATTATTTGATGACTTGCAAGATGCGAAATTTGACTTTAACCCAAATCGCTCTTTAACAATTTTAATAGAACTATCTTGTTATACAATACGCTGTCATTTGATTGTCTCATTAAAAATCATGTGTAACTTTATTGGACAATGCCTTAATATGATCGAAAATTCTAAAGAGTGGCTTAAAAATAAAAGCCAATGGTTAATCAGGTATAGCCTTCGAGAAGAAAATTATCGCATAAGTCATAAAGAACGAAAAAGTGCTTGGGTTAGTCTGATTCACAAATGTCAAGATTGAATGAAATAAATGGTAAAAAGGCAAGTCGTTAAATAACAAATATTGTATCTATGTTCAACTGTTCTGTTGTTGTACAGCTATTAAAAAAGTTGTTCCGAAACTTTGCAGGTTACCAATAAAAACATTATAATAAACGCATGCAACCCACATATTAATTTTATTCGATGATTGAGCACATTCCATATGCAGTAATAAACCAAACATTATCAAATTAGCACTAATTCATTTCGCACGTGCACATATGTTACATTGCTGTCAAGCATTTAAATCCAATTCGCGTACTCTAACTTTGAATATTCAACGATTTTTGTATCGACATCTCTGATACTCCTCAAAATGCCAAGACGATGCACCAAAAACTCACACTCCGACGACTCTTTGAGCGAAGATGATGTACAAAGTATGTTTTGTATGTAAATATGGTAATTCATGCCATTACAGAAAATAACACCAATTGACTATCGACTATTTTCTTTAGGAAAGAGACAGAGAAAGAATACAGGTTGGCAGATTAATGTAGATGACGACTAATATACGTAATTTGTATTGGTTGTTGACTAACCAAGTGTTATTTAGAAATACAAATGGCAGTATTCATTCCCGCTTCACCCTCTATCAAGCCCTCATATATGTCAGATAGTGACGTTCAGGAATTTGAAAGCTCTTGCATTTATAGCACCATTAGCAACCCCATAATCACTCACCCATTTCTCAAAGATAACATAACGGAATACGAAGCTGCAAATTGGCTTTCTGAGCCAGAACAAGCTCCACTATTAGAACTAGCAAATAAGCTAGCAACCGCTAGAACAGCAGCAATAGCAAAATCATCAACAGCTACTACTACAACTACAACAACAGCAGCAGCAGCAGCGGCAGCGGCAACAACTCCGGTAACACCAACAGCCACAGCATTAACGGCCACAGCATCGCTGACAAATAAAGTATGTGTGCAACATAGCATAAAATTCTTTATTCGATTAATAAGTTAACTTTATTACTTATCATATGCTATTTTTAGGAGCTTCTAGAAAGACTTACTACAGAACTGAAAGCGTTATTTCTAAAATGTCGGAATAATTCTGACGAACTATATATGCATCTTATAGAACGAATTTATAGAGTAGACATAATCGTTGCCAAGAGAGAAGGCGTTTTTGCCAAGGCTGGTAAAATTTTTAACGATTGTCGAGACAAATTTAATAAATCGATTAAAATATTAGTGAATAAGTACAAAGAGCAGCACAAAACCAGGTAGGTATACGAATTAATGTCACATTTCCACGACTATTGGTGCTAATGCACGACCCCTATGCTTTTCAGGGAAGGTGCAGCAAGTCAAGAAGAAATCGAAGAGTTTATTGATGATACCGTGTGGCGGACGTTATTGTCCTCCAATCTCGATGCTACGAAAAGGGTCGAAATTCTCGATAATCCGTATACTACATCTCGGCTAAAGAAATTTGTCCAAGAAGCATTTAAAATCCATCTCCGTGGAGGTTCGGATGCTTCGCTCAATGTCAAAACACTTGACTACATTACCATGGACTTGGATATTCCTACGCAGCTCGGTATTGTCAATGAAATGGACGTTAGAAAACTCTTAAGCTGTGCAAGCATAAAGAATTCTCGATATAGACGATTAGCGTCATGAATTATGATATTAATGCATACTTTACCTTTTGATTACTTACGTCTAAATAATAATGTTAATATTAATGTCGTTAGAAAAGACTAATTTTTATAATGAACTATATCTTTACTCTCAACCCGTATATCGAACTCTAATTACGGCGTAGCTGGCTGATTTGAGAGTTTGATAAAAGGAGTCCAATTTAAGGAGGTTCAAACTGCTATTAAGAGGTATCTATTTTCGTTAATTTATAACCCTATTTGGAATGTCGGAAATATGTAGAATCAAACATACTGGCATTGAGATGAAACCAGTTTTGTTACCAACAAATCTCATTAATATTAATAGTAAGTTGTATTATTACTGTATTAGTATAATAAGGTTGCTAGTCGATGTAATAATCGAACTGGTGAATTAAGAGTTAAATAAAAATTGTAAACCATTTTCACGTATGACATTCTTTGTACATTCTTTCTCTTCATGCTCTTGTCTTTTTAGCAATTGTGTTTATAGACTAACTAATTATACATTATCGTTTATCTACCGTCCGAAAATAGCTAGAATTCTATTCTCCGGTGCACGTTGGTGTGAGATGCATATGACTGTATTAGCATAGAATAATAATATTGAATTGTAGTTCATTACGACAATGTTGGTGTTCCTTTGTTACACATTTCGAAAGTTGCATGATATTTATTCATAATCATAATCATATATTCTACATCAACTATTATAATTGCTTTAGTCCTTGTGGCTTTGTTCTTAATTATAATAATAAATAGAAATGTAGTTCTTGTTGTACTTAGTTGCGCCTAATAAAGGACACGAAACCAATGCTTTGTTGTACTGACAAAGATCAAAATAGATAAATGCTCTTATAAATTAACATATTAATATTAATATGTACATTATTTTTTGGTTGAATTGCTATTAACTTGTTGATATCATTTAATGCATTTTCATGTTGTTGGAGCAAATAATAAGTTTTTCCTCTCACTTGCAATGCAAGTACATTATCTGGTTCAGTGTCTAAAAGTTTATTCAAATTTCTCAATGCATTGTCATATTAATATTTAATGTTTGTCTTTTCATTCAATATCATTATCATGTCAAGTGTTTTGACATTGAGCGAAGCATCCGAACCTC